CCGGCCGCGGAGGACGGCCCCGATTCCCCCGGCCGGAGCGCGTCGGACACACCTCCCCCACAGCGATTTCCCGCTCCGTGATGGATTGGGCTATTCTGGCATTAGATCGAAAGCTGTTATCGAAGGAACAAACGGGGATTCACACACTGTGTTTGTAAGAGATCCCGATCCTTCCCAGTGCATCAGAGCCCCGTTTCACCCTCTTGCCAATGACACTTCGCCCAGGGCTCCCACAAAGTTGGGAACCGTTTTCCCGCTCCCTTAAAGTCCCATTTTACATTCCCTTCACGTGCAGCATCCACTTCCAGCCCTTCCGGGACGAAGTTTTGTGAATTATGGTAATGGGGCAGGAAAGCTGATGTTTCAGCCTCTCCTGGACCAGTGCAGCCCGGTCCAAACAACGGCTTATTTTCTCCTGTTTTAAATCGCACAACTCTCCTGCTGCAAGCGCATTCAAAAACAACTTGGGGCTAAGACAAGAGCCTCGTCATCACCCCATCAAACAAGAAATCCACCACGTAGCTGCCGAGATGTTTCTGACAGCCCTGGCCAAGGACAGCGCGTAGGGACCAGCAGGACACGGGCAGAGCCGCCCAAACAACCTGCTCTGGGGACGTCACCTGCGGCTTCTGCGACTGGAGCGGGAGAATCGGGGCTATTTTGAGAGATGTGACCCGGGATTTTGAACTCGTTATTAGTTTCTCCCCTCCGCTTTGGAGCTGTTTTGGTGCCGAGGCCGCGGCGCGCGGGCCGGCCGCGCGTGCTCATTTGCATGGGCGCCAAACGAGCGCCGCTGCGCCCGCATTGTGGCACCTCAATGGCACCATTGTCCCCGCAGAGCGGCCCCGCAGCCACAGCAAACCCCGCAGCAGCCCATTAGCATCCCAAGGGCCGGGCTCAATGCGCCGGGGCAGCCTTTGAAAGGCCCGAGCGAAGCGAATGCAATAACCCGTTGCCATTAAGCGCCGCTCGTTGTCCAGATTAAACCATCAGCCGCAGGGACCCTGACTCCCCAAACGCACCCAGCACAACACACGCTGCGGAGCCCCGAACGGGGCTATCAAGCACCCGAGGCGCTGGATTTGCCCCAGCTCTGGATCACTGGTGCCCTGAGGAGGCCCCGTCG